CGATACACGCGTAGACCAGCTTCAAACAACTGTCAGTACTAAAGACAAGTCACGAGGCGCATTCGAGCTAAGCCTAAGTAACTATACAAAGGATTTTCGGAAGGTAAGAACCGAAATTCGCTCGATACGCTCCAAATCGTCCTAACGTCGCAACGCGCATCCGCGTTTAGTTGGCGGTCTCGATACAATAAAAACGCACCAGCTCGTAAGTCTATAATTAATTAAGCTACCTGTCCTATATGAGAACGTCAACTGTAAACCGCCTAATGCCGCAACCCTGTCTCGGTAGATCAGTTTGTGTGTGCGCGTGTCTATACGGAGCACTCGGTTGTGATATTCCTGGCTTAACGCCGTCCTCATCAAAATTGTAATTAAACTCCATACACGTAGTTCTCGATTCGGGCGGCTAATGCGTTCGCGACAGCTAGGCGTGTAAATAAATTCGCACGGAACGAGTACAAGCGTAATTCTCTCACATTAAATGTTGGCGATCCTTTGTTGAGCGCGCGCCTCCAGTTTACGGATTTTCATCCGTTCTCAACTCGTGGGTAGTTTTTTAACTCACTAATTGTGCAAGCCGAGAATTACTCTTACTTCCATCATAAATTTAAACGAATTACTTTATTTAACATGCATACTGTAGGTCTTGAATAGTCTACAATATACATTGTATGATAAATAAACATGATAAAACAAAAAAATCTATAACAAACCTATATAAGAAATATAGGAAAAATCTATAACATACCTATACAAGAAATAGTCTCATGAATGTATCTTGAAAGATTTAATACCAAAGCATTCTTCATATTTTAAATAACAGAGCAAGCAACAAGCGCAAGATAACAATATTTCAAGAATGAATAGATACGGTGACAACTCATGAAACATATATATATAGAAAAGTATCCGTGGAAGCCTCAAAAGTAACCAATATCATTCATTTATCATTTTATACAAACTTATAATCAATTCATTATAAGTTATAATTTTATATCTTTCTACAACAATACATAAATTATTATTATATAAAATATTGTCACATTTCTTTTTGCTTTAAAATAGATAAAGTTTTCATATATTATATAAATTTTTTTTATATAAAAAAAAGTATCCTCAACTTTTTCTGATAACACAGATATTGCTTCCATAACACAGATTTTGCTATTTTTCCTCCGATATTAAAAGCAAAAATCATGAAATATATGTATACGTACATTTTTTAATTTACAAAAAAATTATCTTTCTTTCAAAATAAAATGGAGACTTCACTCATCGAAATTAGATTAAAAGCGGAAATATATTCGACTATAATTTTTAATTAGACTACAATAAACCTAATATATATATATATATATTTCTTCAAATTAAAATAAAGAGAAATAAATGCCTGTGTCTCATATTATTTTAGAGTCATACAGACTATTGAAGCTTACTTCATGTTCATTATATCACCGAGATTGTCGAGAATTTGCTTTCGTAGCAAAGAGAGATCAGACTGTTAAATTAGCATGCCGATTCATAAATAAAAAACTAACTATTTCGTTACTCTAAAAGCTGCAAATTTACGGAGAGATTCGTCGATTCTCTCAAACGTTCATCCTCGTATTCCCCGTTTCTCTTCGTTCTCGCCTCCTTCCCAGCAAACATAGCAATCGTCGAAAAAGCGTCGAGAGAAATCAAATGAGTTTGCGCGAGAGTGACAATGGAGTTTCGCGACTGTAATCAAGCTACTGTGAGTGGCGCGGGAAAAGGGGTCGCCGTGAAGGGTGAAGGGATCGTCCTGCGCATTTGAATTTCCACGCAAAGGGAAACGAGATACCACCGATAGCGTCTAGAAATCGTCCGCGGCGCGACGATAGAGACATTGAATTAAGCACGATGCAGACCCTTAATTAAACGCTCGAAATTGAGCCATCGATTAAATACTTTCTCTCTCTCCTTCTCTCTCTCTTTCTTCCTCTCTCTGTCTTTACGGCAAGAACTTACGCTCTTCTTTAACACCAAAACGTCTGAATTATCGTGCGAATTCGTCGTGATAATTCGTTCCCAGACATGAATAAAAGATGTACAATAAAAATGCGTAAGAAAATCTTTCATGAACCCATCAAAAAGATAATTTCAAAATATAGAGACTTATTTTTACAACTTATTAATGTACACACATCATGTTCATTACTGACTTCAAATTAAAATTATAATTCTCTACTTTTTTTTGTCTTATAAGTATTAATATTACAGAAGGTTTAATTTAGATTTAGAGAATAAGAAAAAAAGAAGAAAGCTTGTGAAGCTGTTTCTTTGCATACGGAATAGGACTCTTTACGTGAAAAGTAATCCCAAAATATGATAATTGCGCAAGTTTTCTTCAGAAACCCATAGCACTAATCCTTGTAATCGAAACAATTTCGCACGCAAAATGCACTATAAATGTAACATGATATGAAAATAGAAAGTAACATAAATATCTTTATTGTTAAAAGCTAGCACATATAAACAGGATTGCTAATGGAAAACTTCAAAAAACAATCGATTCAAACTTCATGGTACCAATTTGTTCCACCATTATTTCGTGTCAGTTAACGTGCAACTGTTATTTTGAGGTATAAACAATATACCGTAATTGTAGCAAATTTATATTTCGGTAAACAAAAAAAATAGCTTTATGGACCACAGAGCGAAAAGATCAATTCTTTTTCCCCAAGTTGCTCTAATTGGCATGTCCTTTTTGGAAGAGAAAACCGTCGTTTTCGAAGATAGAATTTCACTCACACGTAAATTTAAATTATCTCGCGATTGTTGTTATAAACGAACAAGCATGATTTTTTTTTCAAAGTAACACAATAACACATTAAATCTAATGCAACTTTATAATCCTATTACAGCGTTGTCACAAATTCTTCCTCCTCTAAAATTCCATAACTTTTCCCTGATTTTCGGACAAAATTTCATGATTTTCTTTAACTTTCAATAATTTTTATTTTCAGTAATATTTTAAAATCATATGTTCGTCTTGTTTGGAAACTGTTAAATTATTTGTTGAAGATCAATTTAGTATAATAATATAAATTGCTATTAATACCGCTAATATTTTTAATTATTAAGTTGATAGTATTCGAAAAGTGCAGGTGTAATGTATATCGAATCTTTAAATTCTTTAAAGTCAAGAATTTTCATTTTCTAAAAAATTTTACAAAATTCTCTGACTTTTCCCTGATTTTCCGGACCATTTTCAATTTCCCTGGCACAATTTCCTGATTTCCAGTTCTACGACAATCCTGCAGTCACGCGATGAAAGATGCGAATTCGCTATAATAATTATCTCCATCACGACTTGTTATCCGACTCATTTTCCTACTCGCCGACAATGGAAAACGTTGTGAAAGAAATGTATAAAAAACGTGTTATTCGCAGAATACGAACGAGTCGTCATCGTCGACGTCGACCACGTTTTCGCGCGTGGTCCAGTCACGGATGTTGTCTTTGCCTCCGACATCGTGCGGCGCGATGAGCGTTGAAACGCGACGATGTAACCAGCGGGGGAGCTATTTTACGAAGGGAGAAACTTTTACACATGCATTATGGGGTGACAATCGTCACCTCGTTTTTCAATTCTAACCAGCTGAGTCTAAAAGCGCGAAGCACCGCGGCTTTTTGGCGAGTTGCCGCTTCAAAAGGGAAAAAGGAAGTATTTATTATGTCCTCACGACAATGAACATTTTTACAGAGAAAATGCAGTTTTATAACGGACTTTATTAATGTTTCTTCGCGATTTCTAAAGCAATTTTTTTTTCTTTGAAAAGTGCTATTTTACAACAATATTCCTTTAACATCAGTTTTATCGATGAATTCGATGAATTCCTATCAATTTCTAATATATATCATTGCACATCCGCTCTTTTGATATCACTAGAATTGACTAGAATTGATTAAAATAAAATTTATGATAATCCCACTTCACGGAAATATATCGAGAAACGGAAAGCTCTTATCGTTTTGAAATTATATGTATATGTATATGCAGATTATAAAATAAGTTTAAATATGTTATAATTCACGATATCCATTGAAGATACAATGTATATAGTTAAGAGACTTTGAAAAGCATTACATTTATTCTCTTCATTTAAACATTATATAAATATATGTCGTTGCGCGGTTATGCGAAAGCAAGTTTCTTACGCAATCTTTTATCGTAGATGCGTTCAGTAGAAAAAGCAACCGTTTTAAAATTCTTCAATATCCGTTTCTACCAATATAGATTAACTTTAATCTCGATTCGAGTTGAACCGAGATTAAAATTAATCTACATTGGTAAAAACGGGCATAAATGTTGATTTAAACATTTACTATAAATCCAGTGAAAGAAACAGAGCAAAAGATCAATCATTAAACAACTTTTGTAACAGTCGCAAAGCTATTTTTTCTGCTAAGTACAGCCAATCATATCCGGGAACGTATATCACTAGACGACGAAATTTTACACCGATAATTTAGATGTTTTGATTTTCGCACTAAAGAAGGACGCAAATTCTTGTCGTAAATAAAAGAAAAAGAGTATTTAGATCCGATTCCATCAATGAAGATTAATTTTAATTTCGGTTTTCTCTTTATCTTTTTCTAATTCTAAGAATTAAAACTAGAATTTTCTAATTCTAGAATCCTAAACATTTTTTATTTCTCAGAATGAGAATTTTCTCATTCTTACAATTATAAAATTTTCCAATTCTAGAGATTAGAAAAAGATAAACAGCAAATTAAACCGAGATTAAAATTAATCTTACATTGGAACCGGGCCTTAATGAATAGCTCAATTTCAAGCGTTTAATTAAGGGTTACCGCACACGACGTACACACACACACACACACACACACACACACACACATACACTAACACACCTCCGTACGTACAAGAAAGGTAAAAGTTACGAGGGACAAATCGTTTTTCAATATCCTGAATGTTCTTCAATATCTCGTCCCAATACAGGCAGGTCACTTACCTGCTATCGCCAGGAGAACGACGACCGCTTCTAGCCACAGGTGGCAAGTCTTCATCTCGACGGCGTGTACGGAAGCTCCAGCGATCCCACGATGACCAAAACCACTCGCGGACTCGCGGCTCACGCAACACTCGCGGACACACTGACGATCCACCACTCACGCCGGCAGTTAGGTCGCGTGAACGCAACTAGGTGAAATTACCCGGCACCACATCTGCTCGCTTTCGCACACGGCACGCTCTTTTCTCCTTTTCCTCTCGTTGATTCGTACCACTCGCTCGCGATGACCGGTAACCGGTCGACACTCGAGCGACGTCTTCGACGCTACCACTCGTTTCGTGCGTTCCAGCCGGACTGACGCCGCTGACGTGCGCCGAGATTCACCGTCCGAAAGACTCGCGTCAAACTTCACGCCGAACGGTCCCTCCACTCTTTCGCGACGATTGATACTGGTTGAAATTCAAATTACGTCAGATTTATCCCTTCGCGCGCGCCGCGTGCTTCCGAAACTTCCTCCCGCGGTGTGACTCCTTTTACTTTTATTTATTTTTTTTTTCTTCTTTCGTCCTCACGCACGTCGATCACGACACGTCGGCGATCGACGACAGACTCCGTCGGTGTGCGTTATCGATCACCGTGTGTGCTGATGAAACGCAGCACAAGCACGAACCAAAGATTTTAAGCACTGTTGACAGGGTAATTGCACGTATATCTGCACTGGATTGCGACGGACGAGACTGAGCGTCGCCGCGCGAAGCAGTTCTGTCGCGAGTCGCGCCTGCGCGACCGCCCTTTTATCCCCACCATCGGCGCGCCGACGATCTCGCAGCTTCCACTTCCTCTCCCGCCCTTCCTGCGGGGAAGTGAGCTCTTCGCTCCTTCGCGCTCTTCCCTGCGTCTCGCGTGGGTTTTATCCCGTTTCCACCGGGAAGCCGCGCGCGATCTCGTTTTCTCGTCTTCCCTCCCGACGCTCGCTTCTCCAACGGCCCGCACACCTCGCGACCGGGCCACGCACACAGACAGATCTCTCCCCCACCTCCCCTCCCCGAAAACCCACGATTTTATTCCGCACCTCCTTCCGCACGCGGTGGGGACGGCCGCCTGCCCCGAGACCTGCGGATTCAATTTGTCAGCCGAAAGTTGTTTTTTTTTTGAATGAATACGTTGAATGAATACGGTTTGTTACGCGTATCATTATTCGACATTAGGGACATTGTTGAATGTTGTCGCACGGCCTTGCGAAATCCGTAGGACGCCGCTCCTTTGCTGCTCGGACACGTAGATAGGTTGATCGCATGAATCTCAATTTGCGAAGACGATACGTGTCCTCGAATCTACCTCCGCTGAATTCTAGTCTTGCATTCACAGTACACGATTAAAACAAGATGCCTACATATATCTCATCTTATATTGGAACAATTATAATTCGTATTAGACGAGAATAAATCGATTAGGAGCTAGAAATAACTTTATTTTCGATTAAAGTAGGTTTCAGTGTTTAAATATTTTAACTAGAATGAATTTATCATAAACATATCCAATTCTGCAAATTGCGCGTCGAAAGCTTTTTCGACCTTGAAACGCAGTCACGAACAGAACTAGAATAGTAATATCACATGTTAAATTGACAAGTGATTTAATAATTTTGATACTAATAAGTATCTTAAAAGAATATTATTAATTTGATACTAATCTAAGCAACTTGAGAACTGTAAATAATTTAATTTGTTGCAAAAAATATTACCTTAACCGAGCAACTTAGATCTCCTGTGGTTTACAGAATTGGACATGTATATAAATTCACTTTGAAATATTTAAGCACTAAGATCCGCTTTGACTGAAAATAGATTTACTTAATTGATTTATGTTGGAACGCCTACTTGTATTATTCTCCGATTTTATTATAATTGAAATTGTCCTTTACTTCAAAAGTGACACATGCAGCTCAATAAATTAAATTTTTCAAAAAAGGAAGAAAACTATTTTTTAACTAAACAGAAAATTATTGATTAGTTAAATAATATCGGCAAAAGGAATATACTCTCAAAAATATAATCAAATCATTTTTGTCATTTTCATTTCATAACCTTTAAAAAGCATTCTTTTTTAACTGTAACGATTTTAATCTCCTACAAAACAATTGCAACAAATTCAGAATAATTATTTATTAAAAGCGACATAACTTGAAATATCATCAACAATTTATATTTATCTTGATCAACTAAAATGATTAAATTAAAAATAAAACAACTTTTTTAATCACCTTTTTTGATCACCAAAATTGCCGTAATTCTAAATATTCTCTGTAGAAGACTCTCCTTTTTATTTACAAAAACAACACAACTCTAAATGTGTCATCTTTGTAGAAGATATTAGGATTTGTTTGAAAATCTTTAGAACGATACACTTATTATTTGGTGAAAGGATTGTGTGAGATTAGATTATTTTATTTTTGATAATTGATAGAGTAATCTTTACTTATACTTTACGTATCTTATTCGTAGTAAATAACTCGAAAATCACATTTTTTTAGTCGTGTTACCTTTGAAGTAAGGGAATGACACACAACATGCACAAATTCACTTTGTATACTATTTAAGACGCTCGACAAACAGCCAATAATAAAATCATTATTATTATGAAACAGAAAAGGAAATAAGAAAGATATAAATGTTGTGGTATCGTGTAGTCTCTTTTAAAGCCCTTAACTACACTAGTGACTCCCCTAGAATTGTTTTTTTAAAACGAAATTATAGTTGCTCTTTTACTTTGCGTTATGCGAGTGTTTACATTTATAATATTGTTATATTATGCTGTTCTGTTTATTTCCACTGTGTAAATAAATTAAAATGGCATAGTTTGCTTCGTTATTATACTAACGAATTCTATAAAATATGAAGTTATATTATAAAATTATATTTTATGTAATTTATTATGAAATAATAACGCAACAAATATGGCATTTTAATTTATTAAAGCAGCAAAATCCGATTATGTTGTTAATATCGTTGAAGCGAGATAGAGCATACATTCGTATACAGCGGAAGAGTTTTGCATCCAATTCGACCGGAAGAGTTAAAAAATTGCGAATGTAGCTCTTTCTCTATCGTCATAATTCTTCACGGAAAAAATACGATTTATTCTGTATCTGCTATCAAACATCCGCAAGATACATCGCGGAAATGGTATCTATATTGTTCCTTGCTTCCCGGAATTGATCCTCAACAGCACGGACTGCGTTGCCCGCAGGCGTTGCGAACTGCGTAATGACGTATGCTGATCGCTCGCGCAAGGCCTCGTTTCGAAAACACTAAAGCACGATATATAGCACGATATATAGCACGATATTCGCAGGAAGCGAAGCCAGATCGGCATAATGTATCCCATGCTAGAAACCATAGATCATAGACCGAGTGACCTAATTTTCCCGATGCCATTGAAAATGCTTTGTTACAGCAAGTACATCAAGCGCATTGCTACGGCTTATAATGAACCATTACAACGGATTCATTTGTTACAAATCGACATAAATCTCAGAGTATTAGAATATCTACAATGAATAGTTACAGATAAAAAAATCATTTTGACACAGATAACGTGTAAAGTATTATTAAATAATATGATAAAATGAATAATGCCATTGGTCCATACACAGATATACTATTGAATCCAATATTGCTCCCTTTTGTACAACTCCGGCAATTTTAGTTAGAAATGAGCACATATTTCAACACACAATAGTACGAACTAAAATGTTACTAGCTCCATTCCTCAAGTATTTCATTTTTCGATCAATCGAATGTATTACTCCGAAGAACGTTAAAGACAAGCGTTAATTAATTCATTATCTAGTTTACTGATCTAAAGCAAAACAATTTTAATTCTTCGTAGTAATTATTTAGGATATATTTTTTAAGGATGATTAAACTTTTGAAGGTTTCTATAGAATTAGGAGATTTCGCGACAACAAATTATACGGTATTAAATTGAGTCATTCATTTCTAACACACGTCCGACAAGTTTTAGAAAATTTCATTAAAATAAGTATATCATCAATAAATGCCGCATCTTGATTCGTCTTTCTCTGAAACTTAACTTACACCACTTTCGGGATTAACAGCTCTATTACCCCACCGAAACTTAACCGCAATTCACGCCGCGGTATCTCGTACATCTCATTAATCGAGCGATTACACGTTTAATGAAGTGCGAACGTCTAAAATGTACTTCGAGATTAATTGGGGCGCGACTATTCTTAGATGCAGTCAAACTTTCGCCGGATGTCTTGCGCGCGATGGGATTCTAAAGTTCGCTGTGTAAGGCTTTAGATTAGAGCGGATAATTCTGTTCGGATTTACGCGTGCGCGAATTTCCGAGCGGATTTCTATACAGATACGTAGAAAGTTCCCGGACTTGCTCAGATGCTGGCGTCGATCGCGCAAAGATTTGAGAATAATGATATAAAAGTTAAGGGGAAGAGAGTAATATTTTCTTATCTATACGTCTCAAAACGTAAAACTCGCGTAAAAACGCGGGCAGTTGGGAAAAGTGTGTTAAAGCATGATTCACATTTTCCATACTAATACCAACTTCCGGACGGAATGTACTATATACAGGAAATCTTATTCGTCTACGGCGTGCAGATGCGGGTATCAAAAGGCACTTGGCGACTGTGCATTCATGAATCTCCGATGCGCGATTTGCTGCTTAAACATGGAGTCGCCGTGGGAGCGGTCATGGACCGGTCAGCACGCTCTTTATGGCGGTACATCTACCGCCCGCAATTTATCTTTCCCACCCGCGTGCACTCTGCTAGCGCGCTGCCTTCCCCTAGTTCTCCTTTGTCGCTTTTCTTTTCTCGCCTACCCCCGGACTTTGCTCCCTCGTCTCGTGAATCTTGACCCCGGAAACGCTGCGAAAGAAGGGCGCGCGCCCGCGAAGAAAGACGGCGGGGGTGCAAAGGAGAGGTGTGAAGGGAATAGACGATTAAAATATCAGAATCGTTTATCCGTATCGCTACCTTCCTTATAACCGTATAAAATAACCTTTCATCCTCATTCATGCACATGGCAATGCGACGTGACGTGACGCGACCGGTTGAAAGTCGCGTCAAGCCGAGTCGCTGAGATTCGCAAGATCACACTTTAATAGGATAGCACGAGCGAGAAAAGCGGGAGAAAAAGAAAGAGCGAAAGACAAGGGAGAAAACAGGACGCTTTTTTCGGTCGTACCCGAGCCCGCCGGCATTACTCTCACGAGGACAGGAAGCACCGAGGCGCTAGGCGGGAGGGTTGAGACCCCTGAATTATCGCGCGGAGTTATTTCTTCTTTCTATATATCGTTCTTTACCTCGGGGGCGTGTACACATACGAAGCACAGAGCTTAGGTACCACGGGCGCGAACGGACACGGCGCTAACTCGAGCACGAAAAACTCGGGAAAGTTAGAAGAAGCTACAAATACGTCCTACACGAGTATCCTGCTGTATATTTATACATATACGGTTGAAATTCTATTTTATATTTCTTATTGTGTTTCATATTTTTAATTAAACAAGCCTATTATGAACGTTCACCTGCTATAACAAATCCAAGAAATAATAGTAATAAGAAATTTTAAACAATAAATAATAAGGCTTACAAGCCAAACAAGAGCTTTAATACTTAAATAAATAATTAAGAACAATTACATACGTCTAATTACAAACTTATTGATCCTAATTAGGTGACTTCCAATGTAAAAAAGAACAGTCTTTAATAACAAAATCTCTTTAATAAATGTAAATACCAAGTTTGAATACCAAAATTCTAGTAAAAAAAAAGTAAAAAAAAGGAAAAAAGAGAGTTATCATATTAGAATAATTAATTAAAACATTTCGGCCTTAATCAGATCATTTTCAATGTAAATGAAAAACTTTATTGATATATTTTTGAGATTTCCACGAGTATTTTATATATAGAAACTATGTGGATTATTTCCTATATATATATATATTATATATATATATATATATATATATATCGAGATCCATTATTAAAATGCCAAACGTTTCGTG